GCCGACGGGCACTCAGGTGCTGCCCGAAGCTGCTTTAAAACAGGAAACAGAGCAAGAAAGAAACTGCTCCGTGATTTTGACGCCGATTTTTCGTCTGCAAATCCCGTAAGATTCGCCCTCGTTTGTAAGAGTGCTACGCCGAGAGGAGGCGTTGACTTTCAGCGCTAAAAGCACACTGACGTATGTTTTCTCAGGTTTCTCGGAGTAGAGAGACGAACCGTTGATACTCGCGTATCCTAACCTTCAATATGCAAGAGAAACTTTGCAAATGCTCTTGTTGCAAATGAAAAGAAGTGCAACCATTAAATGTAGTTATACATCGAAATATGCGATCCTCTGCATACGAAATTCATTATAAAACATAGTCATTGTTACGTGTGCAGCGCCTCGTATTGCCTTTTTATCTAACGCAAAAAGTATAATAGTAAATGTGTATCGAGAAAAGTTTGTTCGCATGTAGAATCCTCATTTTCTCTTATAACCATTATCGAACGCCGTTCCTTGTTCAATCGGTGCGTCTGTGTGTTTAAGTACACTTACACCATCGACGTACACGAATGCAAGGCACGATTTTTTCAGCGTTCACGCGTTAGTATATATGCAATGCTCGTACGCGTAGATACATTTGTAAACGGTGCAATTTCACGTCGGTAATTGGGGTCGCGTGCACGTAATTTTGTATGTGTACTTAGAGCAGTTAACGGGCGCGTGCACACGCGATAATGAAAGTAAGAGCATTATTAAGTAAGGAAAATGTACGCGGAGAAATTCCGACATAACGAAGATTCGTTGGGAAAGGAACGTTACTCCGATGGAATCGAGCATTTCTCTTTCGTTTCTTGCAGCAAATTTCGGAGGCATTCAAGTTTTTCAATCAGTCTTCTAACCCGAATTAATTCCATACGCTCAAAATAATCACAGGGTTATTTATGTTCGTACAACCTGATTAATATTTTGAAAGATACTCTCAATATCTTTCATTTTTGATACTCGATTCGTTTGTTTTCCACGTATATAATCCTCTGGTTGTTTCGGGCAATGTGAAAAAATAAGGTGTAAGATCGAGTCGAAGTTTATTTGCAGTCAATGTGTTCTTTGTTTAGTGACAATCTTCCAATTTCGTTTTGGAATATATATCGCATTGCTCAAAGTGGTCGATGAATTCTAAACTCAAATTTACATCTCGAAAACTCAACGATATAAATTATATGAATTATATGATTACGTTAAGGAACGCGGTCTCCTAATTATTTTGAGCAGTGTAATTAGTCATCGTCTGCCTAATTTGTTCAAGTTTCTTCTCAAATGGGACTCGAGCGGAATAGATGCATTTAGGAAGCGTTGAAAGTCTGTGTTTTGATAATACTTTTACTTTTTGACGGATGTTTGCGTGTATATATACATAATTCTTCCTCTTAAGTACGAATACGAAGAGAAACCCGTCCTGAGATACGCACAAATCGGTATACGATTCATTCTTTTCTCTACCGAATGATTCAGTTTGAATATAGTATATTTGATCGAACGTTTTCGCGAGGCTATTTCGAGAAGAAAAAGGAAAATAAAAAAGAACTCGATGAATCGCACAGGTGACGAAGCGTACAAGTATCATCAGGCATAAATACACACTGAAATTTATTTATACGATAACGTTGAGAGGAATTTTTTACGCTATCGAGAAATCGATAAAGGATTGGCGACAAGTAGATCGGAATACCGGGCTGATAGCGAAACCGAAAGTAGTAATCTCTTTTTAATATCGATGAATCGTCGCCGTTACATGGCTCGTTTTATTAGTCTTTACTTCTCACCACTTTTTTCTCTTTTTATCCTTTTTCCAAGATTGTATTACGCGTCATGCCGCGGAAAATTGAATCGTACATTATAGAATGGGTTGGCAAGCGATTAATCCCAATTTCAATTTGATACGATTATTTTAGATAATTATAGATTATACACGATTTGTCCGAATAAATTGTCTTTATTCAAAGGCGTATTCGCTTGGCAGCCCATTCGGTAGTAATATTTATGTACTATCGCGTATTTAAAGTAAACGGACGTGTGTGTCTCAATAAGCGGTATCGATCTAGTAATTTAAAACGAAGGAAAACGTATTATTAATTAATCTACGAATAACGGTGCGACCTCCTATTGATCATATCTATCATTAAACTCGATTCAAACGATAAACGATCTTTCGGAAGCATTTCACGTTTCGAGAAACATTATTTCAAAGGTTTATCGATTGAATCTCGGGTTTTTAATCGCTCACGGTACAAGTCCTTGCCATTCGTACAAATTGCGGTAGAATTCTCATTGTTCAACCATCGACGACGATCTCGAGGAATTATTAATCTTAGAATATCAGTTTTGAAATTTATTCGATTAGTCGATCGAAAGATATCTTTAATGAATTCTCCGGTCGGTGGGAAAGTTGATATATCGTCTATTGTTCGTTCAAATTAATTAAGGAAAATATCGACGTCCAAAAATTAACGAAAATAGCAAGATCCCCAGACTACGATTACGCATTTTTATATTTTTTTGAACGTAGGTGAAGGAATGCTACCTTAAATATCGTAATAAGTATTCTAGTTTAAATATTTTATACATATTTTACATATTACACGCATTCTGTAAATTTTTGGAATTCGAAATTTCCCAAGAATGCAGCAATTATAGCGATAAATTATTTTGGATTAATTCCCGAGTCGTTGAGACGGTTTTAAATCAGTGACGCAATTTTGTATTACTCCTAATATCATAAGTTAGCGTGTAAGCAAGTAATTACCGACGGGGGAGAAACGATATCATCGCGTAAGTGGAAATGCCGGTAGTTCGTTGTACGTTCGCGCGGCGTCACCGAGTCAGCGTAATCGTGCAGATACTTCCGATTACGAAAGAAATCTCTCAGTGCTTTCAACTGTGATTTTGTCTGACGAGTTGCAGCTCCGTTTATTTAATTTATTCATACTTTTCTGCGAGCTACCGAGCATGTTGGAGAAAGATATCTATCGAACGTAGCGGATCGTGTCCGACCCGGAAAGACGACGACGTTGATGCGTGTCTTTTGCTCAAAAGAGACAAAGAAATATGTATTCTCGTATATAAGTACCTCAAATTCTGGCGGACAAGTGTTCTGGAATCTCGTTCAGTAGCCTGTCAGTAGTGATGGACATTTGAATCTCAATTTCGGAGCGATTCGAAATCTTACGATAGCGTAAAAATTCGGATCACTTTGAATATGAATCGCTATTTAGGATCTTTTAATCTCTTCGAGACTCCTTGAAGCTTTAAAGATTCAATATCTATCAAGGCTTAAGGTAGTCTCGGTAAGTCTGTGAATCTTCTTAAGATTCTCCGATATATCAAAGATTCAGAATTTATCGAATCTATCAAAACTTTTGAGTATCGAACCATATCGAAACGGTTTGAGCTTTTCGTTAGATGTACATATTCGATGCGATTCGAAACGTTTCAGAGCTCATCACTACGGATCGCGTTTCATTGCTCTTACTTTTCCTTTATACGAATCGTGTCTTCGTTCATTCGCTAGTTTATTTTCTTTTTTTACATCATGTATAAATTATGTAGGGCTTTAACGTTCTTCCTCTTTCCCTTTTTTTTATCGAACATTTTTGTACAGTATGTCGTTTCATGTAGAACAAGGAACGAGTGTCTTTTTTTTTTACGACTCGAAGAGCGAGATAAATCGCCGTGGGCTGGCGCGAATACTAAATCATTCCACTTTTTCGTGCAAGTATTCGTGTGCAACTGTTTCACTTTCTGTTCGCGATAATTTATGCGCAATGTCCAAGTTGGAAACGCCAAGGGGCGTTTGTGGTTACCAAATTGCATTGGAATAACTAATACTTCATCGTTTTATAGCTCTCTATTCCTTTCGTTATTGTTATGTTTCTTTTTCCGTACAACGATTTATCGACGAAATCAATGTTCCTTCTTACTTGTGTTGAAATTTTTTCCATCGATGAAAATATGTCTCTCGGTGTATTTCTTTCGAATATTAGACTAATCGTTTCTTACGTTATTAAGAATAAAAATTACTAATATGCAAATTGTCGATTGTTATTCCTCTGCAACTAATTGGTATTTCCCCGAGGAGGAATCTCGATAATCGCGAGAAAACCATCGGCAGAGCAGAATCTCCATGCAAGCACGTGAAAGTTCTCCTTTGTACATAATATTTACGATGATAACGATGATATTAAACGATAGCTATATAATTCTATACGAACAGCAAGCGAATAAATGAATAAATTAAGCGTAGATATGCGTGTTTGTATAGGTGCAAGGAAGGATACAAACGGTAGCAGAAAAAAAGAACTTTTTCGCGAGACGGCAGGAATACCCGCGTGAGATTATCACTGTATTTATATCGTATACCTTCTTCCACGCTTCTTTTTACCCGCTACCACGTGCAACTGCGTAAAACAAAAGACTAAAATGCCATGGAACGATGCGTGTAAATGTAAGCACGTTTGACGAGCGATCAAATAGTATTTGAAATAAATGAATTTAGAATTGTTTTTTAATATTATTTTTACAGCAACGATTACGAATTAGTTTTAAATATAATAATTTGTTTATTTACTAGATACGGAAAGAATCGTTATCGGAGAATGTGGTTTGTTTAAAAGGATAATTTAACGAATTTATATTTTATTACAAATACTATTTATGCCGAGAATTACGCGAATCCTCGATGGATCGAGGCCAATTCTAAAAGGCAACTTAGCTCTACCATGAATCGTGCGGTAATCACCGATTGAATTTCCCGTACTTTTAGTCTGCGTCCCAGCCACGATATTCTCGGCCTAATTTCACGAATTTCATTTTTTTTATTTTCGAACGAACCATATGTCGCTCAAAAATATCGTTTCTTTTACTATAAACCGTCTTTTACCATGAAGCCACTGAAATTATTTGAAAAAAGAAACAGATCGTGGTTTTATCGATTGGATGCGAGTTCGTAGAACTGTACGGATCTCCTTAGTCTCCAAGACTAAATTCGATGTTTGATGGCATTTCTAACGAATAAAATATTAAAACGGCACTACTTAAAATAATGGCACTACCTTCTTGAAACTATCTTACGTTTAACATTATTGTAATTTTTCTACCGAGTTTATCAAAATTTTAGTCACAATTCTTATGCAACTTTTGCGTCCTTTTACGCGACTAATTACGATAAAAGCGATACAAAGGAATCGCGAGTCTGTTTTAATAAACATATTACGCTAAAAGTATTAAACAAGATGGTCCTGCAACGTTTACTTTTTATTCCGTCGATACTTTTCTCTTCTCGTCTCGTCATCTTCGATAAATATATTAGAGATGATCTATCGGAACAAGAAGAGACGAATCAGTTCCTGACGCGCTGACCAAGTCAAGTGAAATTTTTTTCCTTTTGCAATCTCTGTATGTTGTACACGATGCTGTGGACAATGTTTAAAAATTATAAATATATATTTTTTTTTGTATGTATAAGTTATAAATATGTGAGCGTTATGTATTTATAACTTGTACGTTTACACATATAAATATAGACGCGCGTATAGCCAAGAATTTTTCCATTTAATTACTATTGCTCTTAAACACAACCTGTTAAAAGCGATATTTCAACAACATACACATTCGTGTACCTCCTCGTTGCATCATATAGATACGAGCCGAAAGATCTTTTTCACATTTTCAAAAACAATGATCAATACTTTTTTCAATGCTTTTATATTATATTTGCATTTACCAATTGTTCGAACAATTCTTCCACGCCAATTGTATTATCAACGATATTCCCTCTTCTCCTTTTTCTTTCCACGAAAGCTGATATTCAGTCAGGCAAGGGGTTGCGTTACAGGCTGAAAGGGATTGGTGGAAGTAACATGTGTGTTATATAATACAATATATTGTCACAGTTTGCTCGACCCCAATTTCCTTCTTTTCTTCGTCTAGATTCTAAGCTACTGCCTGCTTTCGCGCCGTTTCCTCTTAATTATTATGCGTTTCAACATGAATTCGTACGTTTTATGTGCTTTTAAATGCTCGCAAACGTGGTTGCAGCACTTTTATCCTTTAACGTCGCCTTTTTCCATCTATTAACTCTGAAAATTCGTTTGAACACTCACGAATACAATCTCAATGACATTCGCAAGAAATTTTTTTGTAAATTCTTTGATTCTTCATAACGACATTCGCCTAAGATTCTCAACTTCCGGTTCTTCCATCTTTTCACAAATCCGCATATATCTTACATTGTTATATTATCATTATATGTACAATATAAAAATAATACAACCTTCTCTTGCTACTTACGATTCATCGAAACTCCAGAAGTTGAAATAAAAATGATGCAACCACCATAGAGTAATGCGTCGAGACAAACGTTTCTTCTTTCCCTCGCAAGCCATTTCAAGTACACGCTGGTATTTCGTAACATAAAAAAATAATACAAAAATCGAATTCTGACAAACATTCCAACTGTTCATAGATTTTTCTTTGTTATTTTTTATCTTACTTACACCTGACTAATTAATTAACAGATGTTTATTGTCACATGTGTCAGAGTGGCCATCGACACTTTCATCGTCAAAAATATGCAATTCCTCCTCGTTTTGCTACAATTTATTTATAGAATCGCTATCGCTAGCGTCGGTCCATTCGGCGTTGGTTTACTCTTTCTATCTTTTTCCAAACGCTATAGAATTCGTATTATTCAATTAGTACTTGTGCGTGCAATTAGTATTTAAATTGCAGTAATTAAATTATGGAATTCATTTGAGGTTATGGGTACGTTTCGTAAACGTTTGTAAACGCTTAAAGCATGATTATCGGTCAATATTAATATCAATGACATTATCGATAATAAATCAGGATTGATATTTCGCATCATTTAGATGTATTTTTTCTTTTGAAAGAGATCAACCTGGCGCTTGTATAATTATCTGGGCGAAATAATGAATCGTCAATGATCGACTAGGCCGTGCATCGATGGACACTCTGTCAGGTCAGTTGTTTTCCATGGGAGTTGACGACGATCGTCGAAACGTATCCCTCAAAAACAGCCAAACCACGGAAAACTTAGATATTAATCGTAATTGCAAACATCGACGATTCGTCTTCTTTCCTTTCCTATTTAACACTTAATACTCTCCAATGGGAAAGTTGTATATAAATTAGGAAAAAGATATTGTCTGACTTTATAAATCGCTAGTTGGAAAGAAATACATACACATTGAGCATCTAGCGACTTCTTAAATTCCTAATTTGTTTGGTCTTATTGTTTGGTTTTAATTTTTGATCGGTGATTGCAGTTAGCATCGATTAAAGTATCGACTAAAATGAAAGAAGTGCAAATTACTGTGAGGTGAGATTTCTTACATTAAAAATAATATTAAAGAAAATTTGTGAAAAACTCCTGTTTGTAAAATTGTGTTTCAACTATTGAATGCATAAAAGAAGATAGAGAGTTAAAAAATCTGCAAATTTCGAAACAAGTGGTTCTGAAGGAATTTTCAAAATACTTGATTAATATCTAACCGATTCATTTCAATTTTTTGATATAAAAAGAACGTTCCGCTTCATAGATTCATTCTCGACATATTAAAAAATTATATTACTATTTATTCTTATTTCAATTTTCCGACCACCAAACATATTTTGTTCCAAAACAAATTTGGATCATGCGAATCATCCAGGCTGGCGAGTTTTGGTAAAAGTATTTCAATTACTTTGGGATCTTACGCGTGGACGCATCAGGACGTTTTTTTAATTAGACGAGACTTAGCACCGAGAGAACACTCTTTAGAAAAATCTTGGTCTTAGAATAATTTTGCTACAGATATGCTCGAAATTTCTAATTTTTTTTCTATTCTCTGTGGTAGAATAACTTTTTCACCTTTATTCAGATTAGAAATTTTGATAGTTTCTTGTCTGTTAAAAAATCTCGAAACACGAATGCTTTTATAAGTTTTTCGGTTTACCTAAATAATTTCAAATAAAATCACGCATTTTGTTTTTTCTTCGTTATACTTGAAGAAAAGATTGAAAATTGTGACGCGAAACATTTAAAGAATAAAGACGTTGCTGCGACTTGAAACTTTTTCTGGCTAGTAAAAATGTCAGTTTATAAACAATTTGTATCAAAACAGGTGATACTTTTTAGATATGTTAAAACGTTCAAACAAGTCTCGCGATCGCTACCAGAAAATGTTCGTCTTAAATCTCACAGTCTACCAATTGTATCGCACCCGTGAGGAAAGGAAAATCTTTCAAAATTTCCGTCCAAAAAGGTCCGTGCGTTGGCAATCGTTTGCAAAAATCGATATTTACAAAAAAAATGAATCTGTAAGATAATGTAAGAATCACAGCGTGTAAACTATGGTATCCGTGAGTGATAGGAGATGAGATAATGGGTTAAGTCTTAAGAGGTTCGCAGTATGTATTATAGTTCGACTAAATTAAATTCGTCAAATGAACAGGACAATCTTACGAGCTGCATCATATTTTTCTTCTTTCATTTTCCTCTGATATTTCATGAAGAATAAAGGAAAGCCTCGCAACATTTGGATTCTGCGATTTTTCCCTTCCACTAACGATAAACTTAAAGCAGGATTCACAATCGTCAACTGGTACACACAAAAGGTTTCTTTACTTTTTCATAACAATTTAATTTACTACTTCTTTTTTGGAAATTCTCTTGAAGTTTAAACTCACGCCATGCTCGGTACAATTTTGTCACTAAGCCTTCGCATCTTCTATATTTACATTCACGCTGGATGCACGCACCATTCTTCACGAAAGAAAAAAAGGCCGAGAGAAGGAATGATTAAAAGTGATACAAACGCTAAAAAATCGACTAAAATCGTTTTTAAAATCTTAGATTACGCTTAAAAAGGTATAAAAACTATAAAAATTCGTACGCTCGTAAGCTTGCTCTGTGTTACACAGACATGAAATTAAATTTTCCTGTTAAACGCGCGTTCAAAGTCTAATAAAAAGAAAGTAAAAAGAGAGGAACAAGGTATATATGAATAGCCAGAGTTACTCGAGTGGCTGTCCGTCCTCTTACGAAGTTTTGCTCGCAATCTGGAGCTTCATGATTCTATGCTGTACTTATAGTGTACCTACATGGTGCACGCGCCAACAACAGTGGCAGTAAAACGCGATTGTTGTACATATTATGCGATCGGGTGTCAGCGCGTTATAATATTCTCACCCTTCGTTTCTTCACTTTTTATTCTTTTCTTTCTCTTTTTATCTTAATAACTAATCGGAAAACTATCTACGGCTGTAACCATATAAAACTATACAATTAATCCTTTGTAATCCTACTTAGAATCGTTATTTTCACCTTATTTTATTTTACTTTCCCACTTTTAATATTTAAAACCATAGTTTTTAATTCTTAATACATATTGCATGAAGATTGTATTAATTTATAAATCGTATACCGCTCTTGAAAGCAACTACAATAAAAAATTAAGTAACAACCATTTGCAATTATTTGTTAAATATTACTTGGATCACGAAGGATTAATTTCGTTCGAAGATTATAAGAAGAAGGAATAATAAATTAATTACTGTCAAAGAATCTACGAACTATCATTTCCACGCAAGATCTAGTAATACAAAGTTTGAAACGAAGGGTCGAATCAGGGAAATGGAAATGATACAATGTGCAATGAAACGGTATAATAACGATAGAATGTCTCTTTCAAGTCGTATTCACGTATCCAGTGGAGGGGCAAATCATGTTTTCTTTTGACAGTGGTTACATGCCGATGGTTCTTTATGTTAAAATACAGCAGTTCTTTGTGGTCATTGGTTGTCTATGATGTTACACCTCCGTTGGATGAAACGTGTGAATGATAAATTACCGCAAAAATCCCGAAACCAGTTTAACACGGATGGCGACTAGACAAGAGAACCAGATTTTTATTGTTGTCTACTGGTAGGCGTCCTGATTTGATATGGCTGCCTCTAATAAGGACGCCCTTTATGCTCAGAGAACGAATATTGTTCCAATTGAATTAGATTTTTAAATCCGATATTTTGAAGTTTGCACAGACTTTTCAAATTTGCCACGTAGATAAATATGAAATAAATTTTCTTAAAGAAAACGGAATTTCCTCTGAGCATTCTGAATAGTGCCTAGTTCTCTTGGAACCGGAAGTCATCGTTGTCGAAAGGATCCATTGTGACTGCGGTTAAACCTGAGCGGGTTTCGACTTGCCGACGACCAGCATTATCTTCTGCAGGAACTTCGTAACACTTACTGCAAACAACGATTGAAAGGATTTAGTAACTTGATTTATTTTATATAGCGTGTTGGAGAGAGAGACAGAGAGAGAGAGAGAGGGAGGGAGGGAGGTTGTTGGGGAGAGAGAGAGAGAGAGAGAGAGAGAGAGAGAGAGAGAGATGATTAGCTTGAGTTTCAACCTCGATGTAAAGTCGTCAAACTCTAAAATAGAAATTATCTTTTTCTATAAAATGAAACAACACTTATAGTTTAATTATTTCACTATGTAAGATAATTTTTCAAAAAGCAGCCCTAGATTTTAATCTTCGTTCCATCTCTATGTTTAATTTTTCGTCTGCTTAATCCAATAATTGAATTATATTTAAAGTTATATGTATATTTATAATTATTATAATATTTATATTTATAGTTATAGTAACACCTATAACTATTTAATAATAATTTATATCTTTTTTAAATTGTACCACATCTTTCTAAATTCTCAAATATTAGAAAAATTATAAGTAGCGTCTGTTCGAAAGCATGATTTAATTGATTATTAACAGACGACACCACGATCGAGGAATAAAAATTAGAAAAATCAGCAGTCGGACTTCAATTTCGGAATTACATATTAGTACATTAATCGTAATTTGTACTGGTGCACCATGTAGAGCATGTACGAGTTAGTGTCAGCGTGGTGCTGATTATGTGAGTGCAACATGCAAACGTAAATTTGAATAATGTTTGAGCAAACTTAAAGACGAATCAACCAATACTTATGAAACTCTCTAAATTGATATAAAACTACATGACTAGTATATGTAGAAATAATATTACGAAACTGTATATCACGAAAAAATTAACCAAAATATATGAACGATAATATGTCAATAATTGATAAAATATTTAAATGATTAAATTCTGTCTAGTAACGTGAATATAAGAATTATAATACAGTAAAAACTACCCAAGGTGACGGAATAGATAATGAAAAATATACAAATAATACAATGCTCGTGAAGATTCAGATTTGTCAAAATGATTAGCATGCACTATGATCGAAAAGCAATAAGCTTAGACGAATCAATAATAGAAATCAACAGATGCTAAACATGCGTGACATGAAGAGAGTAAGATTATATCAGAGTGTATCTTTTCTTCTTTGAACCTTAGTCTTTGGTCCGACGACTACCATCATCTTCTGCAATGTTTTGGTAACGGCGCCTGCGGGAACAGATTTAGCCAATTAAAGAGAAACGGAACAAAAAGATCCTATCTTCGTCGATAAAATAAGGATAACCGAAGGAGAATCATGAAAACTTAACTATTCTCTCAAACTCAAATAGTCCCTCCAAATAACCAATTAAATATCTTTTTCCTGTTGATAGAACTGTTCTTCCTGAGAAGTGTTTGTGGTTTATACTTACCGACTCCATTCTGAAAAAACTTGGGCTTGCTTTTCCACGCGACAAACACAAAATATACGGGTATGGATGAGAGGATCATCAGGCAACCATATCCTGGAAAAATTGGATTTATTTTTTATTAAATTAGAAATTATCATTTATTAATGATAGGGTGTAGGAGATTAGCGATCTGTCAATCATATAAAAGAAGTTGTCTATTATACTAATCAACGAAGATATATACCTGTTTCTACAGGACTGGCATACATGGGCACAATAGTTACAAAGAGCGTGGCAAGAATATAGATTATGGGGAAGAAGAGGTTCACTTTGATGGGCCTCAGCAGCTTTGGTTGTGTCCATCTGAGCCATGGTAGACAAAGGACAGAAACTCCTATGCTCAACTACAACAAAGGATAGAAAAAATTGTACACTCTTATAACTGTATATTTCTTGTAACGTTAGAATTCGTCGAATCGACTATTTACTCTGTTACTTTCTTGTTACTAGTTTTCTCTTTCTACTTTGTTCTTTTCGACTGTTTCGAGCCTCGTTTATCCATCCATTTTTCTGTATTTTATTCTTTAGTGTGGATAAAGAAACAACAGATATTAAAATAAACAGGTGTAAAAAAAAGAAGAAGAAAAATATGCGTGTTTATGGTTGCAAACGAGTCAGGCGAAGGTGGACACGTTTATGCCCGGTTATAAAGTCGGACAATACCGTCAATTATACGAACCAGCATGAGCCACAATTAGAAAATTGTCACTCGTCCGATTGTGCTAATAATTCGTGGCGAGCCAGGTATAACCGCTAATGTTCTAAATGTGACGTGTGCGTACGTACAACGACGTTCAATGCGTCGTCTCTTGGAACATAACGAGGAGCAATTACACGATTTCATTCGCATTGTGCCGAACTGTGTAAACGGCTCCGTATTATTGTTCCAATGGCTGACCGAATAATCAACGTTATAAGTTTCTTGGAAATATTCTAACGATTTTCCCTTGATGCAATGGCGTTTCTCTTTTTTTCTTTACCCGTATGAAGTTAGATTCTGTGGTTAGTAGCGTACAAAGCGAGGGGCAAAGAAGAATTTTAGATAAACGTTTGGAAAATATTAATTCGTTCTTTGTTTTTATATTTATCGTATGAATGGAGAAACCGAAAAGAATATATGTGTATTACAAGCAAATATTTCTAGTAGAATTTAGTAAAAGAAAAAAATTGTAGCTTTTACGATAAATTTGTTTCTAATTTCTGTAATTTTTGGATAAAAATTAAAATAATAAATAAAACAGTAAAAAAATTTATTTCTCAGTGACTGTAATATGAATGTTTTTTAATTTCTTAAACTAACTGCTACGTACCCAAGTAGCAAAACCAACGTAATTGATGAGGGCGAAGATGTCGGAAGAGCAGAGATACAACATAGACAACATGGTCTGCAACAGATTAAACAAGTTTTCAATCATCCTGCACGATAGTCACTTTCTTCGATCTCCATCGATTATTCCGAACAACCTAACATTTCTAAGGAAACCTCGTTTCTCTCAGCAAATAAATGCGATTCAATCAGAAAGTTGGACAAATGACTTTTCAAGCAAGGTACAAGTCATTACTATTGCTTTTACCATCTCTGGAGGTATTGAAAAACTAGGAACGTTAAAAATTATACCCGATAATATTGTTTATAGTTGTAAAATGATGGAAATAGTAACGTACCATGCAAAGAACAGCTGGCGTAGGGGTGAGCCTCGAAATTTGGATCATCGTTAATATTTCAGGCATTTGACCCTCACAGGCACCAGCGTAGAAGAGTCTGGAGGATGTCAGAAGAATTCCATTTACAGCGCCGAATGTGGAAAGGGCGACGAATACTGGTATCATCCAAGCGAACATGCCGAACAAACGATTCGCAAACGTCTGAAAAAAGAAATAAAGCAGAAAATCAAACCATTAGCTTCTTTGTAAAAAGAAATTTTCTACCCTTTGTTGATTTGCAATAAAGAATATTTTTTTGATGACAAGTTCTTCATCCGATACAAAGTTAATTACTAGCGTAGATATATCAAATACACTCTTTGTCAAAGTGATAACGAGTACAGTTATCGTTCTCTTTTCTAAATTTTTGCTTCAGCTTTAATTTGTAATACTCGTACATTAATATCTTACAAATACGATAGACGTGGAATAAACGGCAACAAGTTTCAAGTAAAATGCAAAAATTCCTTGCAATTATTAAATTATAAAGTAAAAGAAGCTTTAAGAGGAAATACGTGTATTAAGTACGAATGCATAGGTGAAGTGTGTAAGATAAAGCTATGCTTTTTTCTTTTTTTACAATGTAATGGAAGATCGTAGACTCGGATTTATAAAAGAAAAAAGCACAGAATTTTCAATACCAAAGAAACGTAGAAATCCGATTCTTTTAGTTATAAAAATTAACTTACGACTGCTACAGCCTCACTGCCGAGAACTTCCACTGGACTCAGCGTTGTGTAAAATGCCATGTTTGCGAAAACGTAGACTGTTGTAACAAGGACGCACGAGATAGCAATAGCCTTTGGCAAATTCCTAAGCAGAAAAGAGGGTGAAAAAGATGAAAAGGATCATATTCGATAGACATATACAGCTGAAAATATAATTTTTACTACGATTAAAAGCAATTTAAGAAAAATATTTCCAAGGCGCAGGAGCGAATAAAAAGGATCTTGCGAGTCGAAAATATTCGACCTTGAATAGTATAGGATACGAAGTAAAAGCCCTCGCTTAACCTCGTGTCCAAGTTGACGAAGGCGGGCTTTACGGCTCCCTGTTTTAATTAATAGATACACGAGACCGGCTGTTGCAATCGCTATTAATCGTTGCATGAGGCTACTGCGAGCCTCTTAAATGTTCTGCTCGGAACGATTGTTTCAACGACTTCACTCGTACTCATTCATGCCCAAACAGTTTTAAATCGCCAAAGTGGACTGGGATTTGAAAATAAACGATTCGAAACGGAAAATGAAAAATATTCATGTCGACCAATCGCAGGGATCCAAGAAAAAGAGAGTAATGACGATTTTGAAAATTTCCAAGCTAGTGCCTCGATTTTCCTTTTAAACTTTCTCTTACGAAACGTTTCTCTGTTCTCTTGACAAGCAGCTTGGCAAGAGGCAATTAAGATATTTAGAAAAACCATTTAAAAAGGTAACTTTAATCGAATTAATCATTTTTTTCACCTTTCCGATCTACATACAAATAAACCAACGTTAGTCGCTTTTTTTCAAGTTTTTAGCAAAATGACTTATCGTCGCTTACTTTACAGGGTCCTTCAGTTCCTCGATGATGAAATTCAAGTAGTTCCAGCCGTTGTAAGCGAACAGTCCCGAATAAAAGCTGAGTGCTATCGACGTCACTTCTGTGTTTGTATTGTCGAACGTGAAATACTGCGTGTGTCCTGTGAAATATAGATAACATTCATCGATCAGCTACGCGTAGCCTGCACTAGTATGCCTGCGTAGTATGCACTAAGGAACGATATATCCCCTAGTTCTTTTCGCGTAGTCTCTCCTCTCTTACACAGAAGAATGGTACAAGTATTAACGATAATAACGACAGATTTTTACGTTTTTTTATGCATCTCTGTTTCTCGTCGTTGAACGATAAACTTTTCCATTCGGTTGTTCGGCACGACTCGTTAAAATTGAGAAAGAAAAGTTCTCACGTCGATAACTCAATGCTACGGGGGTCCATTTGAACGCAGTGAATAGATCAATTTAAGCGAATCCTTGCACGCACATACGTGCACCTCGAATCGTCCGCGTCTTTAACCCACCTTTTTGATTGGGCAAATTGTCTCGTCCGGTAAGTGAAAGGACGCCTAACAGTCTTATACACTGAGTCTGAAGGGAGGCGTGGGTGGTGTAACATTAACGCGAGCTTCCTCGTTCTTGCCCAAGAAATTGCCAGCGCGTTATTGAATTTAACACCGAGCAAACAATTGGAGACACGATACAGAAATTGCCTTCTAACTTCCTTTTTTCTAATATTTTTCATTTGTCATTCTATGTAAATTTTCTAGACTAAACACTTTTCACTGGGTTGAAAATTAAAGAAGAGATGAGGTCGTAGAATAAACAAATTTCGAGATATTCATAAGCTTTCTGTTTTCGAAATTTTCGAGATCGAGAGAACGCTTTAGATAGAATACGATGATATAACAACGAAGACTGCGATAGACTCAAATTTGAACGAAAAAAGCGAAAAACGATCGAACGTAATTTTAAAATTGTAGATTTAAAATCGAGGAAGCGTTAGAAAAATTATAACGATCCAAGAGAATCTTTCGAAAAATTATTTTCACGCTCGACCGTTTTATTGGTCCCGAAAGGGTCAAACATATTTTTCTTGAGTCTATTCCAACTTCTTTTCATTCGAACACTTTCCTACGATCGCGATGTTTATTGCTTCCTAATCGTACATACAAGACTCTCTATTCATCGATTTCTCCATAGGAAAAAATTGTTGCATAAAAATCCAGCAATTCCTTTTTACATTAACTAATCTCGGTAAAGTCGAACCGTGGAAAATTGTTTCGAAGAAAATCCTATCAATCATGCACGAAACCTCGCGCTAATCCACTTTTTTCCTAAATAACGTTCCGAACGCCGAGAGTCTGCGAAAAATCGAGTCTACTTTCGAACAGATCGCCCGTAGGAATGCTTTCTTGTCGAGATTATGAAGAATGACGGAACAAAAATCGAACATAGATTCCTACGATCGACAGACCACAAAAGAAACTTAATTTACGCGGAGAAAGTGGGGCAATGGCGTCGATTATTTCCTGCGCCGTCTATTCATACCCGAAACAGCGGATTGGGCAACAACCACGTGTTGCAAAAACGACCTTCGATTTTCTTATAACTGCATAATGCCTTTAAAATACGAAAGTGGATTTCAAATCGTAGATAAAATCATGAAAAGTGGTTTATTAATTATTTAGGGCAATGTAGGGTTATTCGAGTCACCAATTGCAGTAGCTTCAACGTCTTGAAATTCCATCTTGAACATCGCCCAGAACAACCAAACTTGTTACATGTATATTACGAAACACCATTAGTTTTTAATATAATAACGAAAGAACGTTCAATGAGATGGTCATCTGAATCAGCGAGATGTTATTATACAAGAATTAATAAAATATATAACAAAATAACTATTAAAAATAAATATACACATGCTGTTTAATATGATAATTACAACTGAGAATATTAACATTCGACAAACTTCTTTCCTTTTGACGAGTGCAATTTATTATGTACGTACTGTACATCTTTGTAGAAAACTATGGTTGTCGTTCAACTTTGCTAAAATGAACCTGCCTCGTACCATAGAAATTCAGTTTATACGAAACTTACCAGTGAAGAGTTGATAAGCTCCTGCGAAGATGATGATGAAAAGAGCGAGTAATTTTGCGTATGTGAAAATGTCTTGCACCCTCGTCGCCCATTTTACGTCCCAGCAGTTAATGAACGCCAAGATGCCTGGAAAATGAACGATTCACGAAGGATTAATATCGATATCATAGCATGTACATACATACCTACGTAAGTATTGTATGTAATTATACATAATTCAATATGTACATAAATGTATATTACGTTAGGACTAGCAATCGAATATCGAAATGTAGTATCGGGGAAAGGGCCTAAGAAACATCGAGTTAACCATGAACAATATTACTGAAAATTCTCAACCCGACAATTGATTGTAATTTTGATAAATAATAATAATAAAAAAAACCATGAACAATGTCGCGTCAATCAATGTATCATCGATCTTTTCAAGTGCATAGTTTCGTAGAAAGGGCCTACGTGACCATGGCCACGAGCGTCTGCGGAACACGCGCGTGGTGGGCCTAGGAAAAGACAAAGAGATGTTAAAACGGCCAGAATGTTAATTGAGAAGCGCAGTGAGCGAGTTGAGAGGTCACAGAGTGTGAATTGAGAAGTCAGAGAGTGCGAGTGGAGGAGCGGGATGGTATGATAATAAGACGTACGACGATATTGTAATCGGTCCTTTTGTTATTGAGTATCGCTTATTAAACTACACTAAACTCTAAATCATCATTACTTGTCCTTACTCTAAGATCCATAAGTTACTACAAAAATCTGGAATTTTTTAATTTTAGCGGATAGGTAGATCGATGAACATTAAAGAAAATCTCGTCGTAGCACGGTGACAACGCGAATCCGCGAATCTTGCCATCGGTTTCTGCTTGTACGTTGGTTAATTAGATTTATCGGTGGATGGAATTAACGGAAGAAGCCTGTCAACGCGATCGGATTCTTAGACACAAGGACACGCGACGATGAACACATGTCTATCCAACTATCGTACCGGTGAAACTTTTCACATTCACCGTGATACGAGCGGAAAGGTGACTTAATGTTAATGAACGCGTGATTACGCGAGAAACGCGTGTAGTTGGTTCCGTTTCTCGGTGATCGGGAATATCGAGATCGTGATCGCGATCGTGATCGTACTATCGCAATGGAATATTTATTACCTTAGCGTGCAAACGTTCGCAATAGCGTTAGTCCCGAGCATGTTACGAGGTATATTTGGAGTACGGTAGTACAGCAGAACTCGGACCGATCAATTTTACTTCGCTTTTGAAAATTTCCGAATCTTAGTATCAGTTTATACGCATATACGCACATGTTGATACTCAACTCGTTTTTCTTCAAAAAGAAAACGTTCAATCTCGATGGAATTGATCGGTAAAGCTTTTTTCGTCCAAGAACGACGTGTAAAAGCAGTACGATGCGATTCCTCGTGTAAAAATAAGAAAAAAGTAGAGCAAAATTTTTTATTCTCGGATCGGAAAGAAATCACGCTTTTACAGGTTATTGGGTCGCACCCTCTCCAACCGAACTGCGTAGTAACATTTTTTTGCATGCAGTAACACTGGCTGCTCTCATACGATCCTAATTAAAATATTTTCGCCATAAAAAGAAATAACATTTTTACGAGTAAAATCTTGTCGTTATAACAATTGCGTGTTCTATGTTACGAAGCCCGTAATGTCGCAATTTCATCTTTTTATCGCCTCTTTCCTCGATATACCTTGTTCTGTAAATTCTCTCCTCGATATACCTATCCTTGTTCTTTAAATCATTCCTCGATAATTTAAAATAATTTTCCGTTCCTCAAGGAAAAGGAACAAATACGTCGATAATAACGTAGCGCTGCTACTTATTCCAGCCTATCGAATAGAAAGGGTAGCGCAACTTTATGGTACTCAAGATTCGCAAACGACCCTTCTTTCACATCTGTTCGATCATTGCCTCTGCGGCGTAATTACGCGGCTGGTGAATCGTTCGTTTGTTTAGTTGAAACTACGTCAGGTCAATGGACAATAGGATAGAGAGGTATTTTATTTTATGGAACCGGTTGCGTACGTGAGCCTAACGCTGCAGACTAACTGGCACCAGTCCAACCGACCATGACGACGTCAGGGGTAGAATCGACCGTGGATGGTTATCGACCTACTCCCTAGATGAATAAGAAAACGAGTTCACTTGATGTCAGTTCAACCGACCAGATACATTATCAGGATGTGCCATTTTTCAAACAAGTTACGTTTCTATTAAAATCCAGGTTTTTAGATTTTGAGCAAACTGCATCTTTTCGGAAGATAAATGTAAATTCTATTTCAGAAAATATATATCAAATTTACGAAAATGAAAAGATTCAGTCCTCTTGGAAAGTACATCTCCTTTAAAACGTGGGAATTGGAAAATCGTGTTCTTCCGGGAAATCGATTCGTTTATTGTAATATACGATATATTATAAATTTATCCGACTTTAACTTGGCGCAGCTTATCTCGATACGACCGAAAGATTCAAAGATAGAAAATATACGATAATATGCAAGATAATACGATAATTGATGGAAATTGTTGTTGATTTAATAATACAGATCAAAGGGACACGATAATGCAACGATACGTATTGTTATGTAATAGTCGATGCATTTGCAATGTCATGGTCGAAATTCTGACGCAATCAATTGGAGATTTTGCATTTTCAACGTGTATAGTTATAGTATATGTTATAATCTAACTAGCTAGTAGCAAATAATGTAACTTGGCAGATACCTGATTATAGATATTTTTCTTCTAACGATCGTTAAACGTCATCCTATTATTCTTTGAAGTTTCGCTATCCTAATTGCAAACTAGCAGTATTAAATCGCCAATGAGTAAAAGAAATGATCGAATGACTCTCCAGCGAGCGTTCAATTTCACCGATTTCGAGCGAGAATTCTTTTTGCATAGGTACGATCAAGGTCATGTAGACTTTCGATTTCGAGCTGAGTCAGTGGACTAGGATACAGGCAGTATCACTGAAAATGGTGTGGGAGGGAGGTTCACCGATCGTAATGGGAACGCACGTGCAACGACGTGTATGTACGACCGTGAAAAATATTCTACCTAGCGAACGTGCGACTGGTTCCCTCGTCCTTGGCGGATTCGTTAGCGAAGAAAAGTAAGAAGTGTCGACTGACGCAACATCTCGAAGAATATCGCGAGACTTTCCGCCCTCTTTCCCTTCCCACCACTCTTCCTTCTTTCTAGCGTCTTCGCCAGTGCTGTCCTCCGTCATTTCAGACCCTTGTGTGATATTTATCACGAATTCCTCTCGACTTATTAAATATAACATAACGCTCGACTTATCAACAACCCAATTTGTCCAAAGAGCGTCGATCCTCTCCTACTTAGATTCTTAAACTATCGTATTTCGATCTTGATATAGACATATCTCGTCTTAGATATAGACATATCCTGGAATCTTATTCTCTGTAGACATCACTGGCTTCCACTTGTTGTTTCGTCTGTCCCTCCTCTTCGTTTCTCGGCCTGGAGGTTCTTCTTCGTTCCTCCCGGGAACCCCTTTCGGCGAATTATACTGTTGCGGCTGCCAGTTGACACGTTATTAGAAGATTACGTTTAGTCGCAACGAGACGTGATTGCTGGCGCAGCCTTTTCACTCGATATCGCCATCGTCTCGTCTTGAGGACGACGCCAGCTCGATCGAATCCACTGGCCGACATATCGATCCTTCTCGAGGCTGGTGTCAATGCCTCCGTTTCACGGCGCCGTTAACTTCTTCGCGTTGTATTTTCTATTTTGCCGAATATTACGCACGTCAGAGAAAATTGAGTTCCAAGAGCGAAAAGAATTGAAAACGGAGAATACTAATTTGTTGCAATTTTATACATAGCAGAAATAAACAACCAAGACAGACTTTAATGACAGCAGCCTTGGTAGAAATATCTTGTTCTCTCAAGTAATTACTTGCGCTGGTCGTAAAGAATTTTCTCGCTTTTATTTTCATTTTGTCTACTTTAAATCATCGAGTAGCGGAAGAGATGTACGTGTCGAGGAAAGAACGAGATCTAGGAGTAAAGAGAAGTTACGAATGGAAAAAGTCAACGATTATTCTTTCTGTTCCGTTCTTTTCTACGATATAGACCTACCACTAGTCGTAAAAATTCTAATGATCACAATTGTGGAAGAAACGAATTTTTCTTACTACAAGTGTGTAATCGTTTGTACGATAATTGTTCGACACGTTACAATTTTACTTTATCGTTTCCAACTTAAACACTCGAGCGAATGTACGATTAAGAGTAGCGGAATTTCGTTCGTTCGAAGAGTGTCGATGAAGCGCGCAACGTACGAGGAAATGTTCGTACGGGTAATTGTACGTCAGGCCGGTTAGATTTCCCTTGGACTTAATTATTGATCTTCATCACTGCCGGCTCGTTCTAGGAACTAATTTTTCCCTGCTCTGGTACATACGCCACTGATAATTAACATACGATCTGATGTAATCTCGATGAAACATTAATGAAAACGAATCTGATTATCGCGATAAAATATTTTAACCATTCGAACAAGCTTTCTTTATAAACATATATTTATAAAGGAAATTTACATTCCAATTAGAATCGCTTTGAAATATCGATTTGATGGTTAATATTATACGTTATATTTATTATATATACATATTATATATACATATAAATAAATAAATAAATCTACATATTTATACTTTTCCGTTATCTAAATTTTCCTTACGGTTATACGAGCTATCACGTTCGGAAAATTGAGACGAAAAGAAAATCGACAGAGAGAAAGAACGAAAGTTTTTTTCATTATCGAGATAAAATTGCTATAATCGCGAGATTTGCGCCAGAGAACAGGAAAGAAAAGTAAAAAGTACAAAGAAAGGACGCGAAAAGGGTAAAAATCAATTTCGAAGGAAAAAATCTTTAGAAAAGAACAGAACAAACGCTCAAGAACCATAAATTGCGTTTCAGGCTCCGTCCATCGCGAACCTTGCATCAGAAGTCGCCATTTTCGTTTTTATTCTGTTCTCGGAAATTGAACGGAACTCATTTCCTTCGCAAACGTACCTGAAGCTTTCTCGCGCTATCGGAAAATCCTGCTCGCCGTTCCAGTTCTACGACATTTAACGGGTTATTACGTCCATCGTAGAACAGACGCGGTTCCGGAGTAAGCCGCTTGCGGTCGTCAGGAAATTATCGTTCGCTCTTGCATTTTCTAATTAACGATACTTGTCGATCGCTCCGCAGGGTAAAGCGTAAGAAGATTGCGTTCCGAATAGGACTAAGCTATTGTATCGTCAACCAGCTGATAGCTGGCAATCGTGTGATTTCATGTTGATCGTTTCAAAGACACAGCTATAAAGCGTTATTGTATCTAGAAATATCGGTGTCGATAAAAGAATTTCAAAGCTAGCGTAATTTCAGGTTAGTTAAATATGATGGTACAAAATATCATTTATGTGGTATGAATAGCGATATCAAACTGCAACGTGTATATTCTGTACATACTAATGAGTAACTTTTTCTGATTAACACACTGAGCACCCTATTCATTCTTTTAAAAATGTTCATTCGTCTCAATAGCGTTAAGATAGATTTAGATTTAGTACTATACTGGACAAAATAACATATGTAAATATTTCATCATGTATTTTAATCTCATTTTGTAGTTAGCAGATAAAAAATTAATAAAATATATGTGTATATGTATATATAAATATTCTATATATAAATATCTATGTAGCAAAATACGACGAATATGTTCTGTAACGTACTACGATTATTAATATAAAAAATAATTCCATCTACGAAACGCGAAAACCAAGCGAAAAGCTTAAATACCAGAGTCGAAAGCCTCCTGCAAAATCAAAACTATTCTATCAATTAAAATTTCACCATAATTAAACGAACCTCGCGAACGATCGTATTACACAAAACACAAAAACCCAACGACTACTTATTCCAGAAGATAAGGAAATATTACGAAACGTCAACGATCGAAACAGTCTCGATCCGCATGCCTTTCGCTCTGCGAGAAGTACAAAGCGCGTTGCGCCAACAAAACTACGTATATTTTCTCCTTAACTGCAACTCGATACAATTTTTTCGAATCTTGCTTTGTCCACAGAAACGAAGAAAGAGAATAAAAGATGAGAAAAAGAACAGGATATTTCTGCGGGTACGCGTTGCGTTCGCTGTTTCATAAAACGATATACGCGGTACGGTAGGTGCAGAACGATACCAGTGACCACAGGAACTCGATATCTTCTCTGTGATATTGGTATTCCTGCGGGATTCGTCGAGGAGAAACGCTGTTTCTTTAGTTTGTTCGTAGTACAAAAAATGGATGAATGTTGATTGGTAGTTGGTTATTTTATTATACGAACGGAAAATGGTAAACGAACGATACAAATTTAATCAACTAATATCCTATAGATATTGTCTAATTATATTTAAAACATTCCACATATAGATAGTATACAGTTTCAAAACATATTTTATCAATCACAAAAGTTCTTTAACAAAAAAAGAAAAACAAAAAATATATGTATTTATATATATATACATACATAAAAGTATGAGACACAATTTCGTTACATGATTCATAAAATTTGACTACACGAAGCATAAAATTATTTCCTATAACGGATCACCGGAAATCACGGAACGTTACGACATTGGATATTCCGTCTACCATGATTCTAGGAAACGATCTGTTCTGAAGATCCTCGAAATGATTCCTACGTGAACGTGATTCGAGAAAAACTAGGTGAGGTGTTTGCGGAATGCTCTTGCACGGTCGTCGATATCGGCATGCAACCTTTTATTTCGTTATTACTCACGCTATGGCTACTCGTTATTACAAAGGAAATAACTCGAAGGCTACGATTACGATCGTCGCGAATTTCTAGAACCGGCGCAACGCAGAGCGGCGTCTTTTCACAACATGACAAATCGATCATGAGCAGTCAACCCTCTCGCGATGAACGTTAGATTTATCCCGACTGATTTTTGCAACAGAATTTCATCGTGATTAAATTTACGAATTAATTTTTATATCATTTTCTTAGTAAATGTTCTTTAGCTCTTTAGTTCTTTAGTGAAGAAATGTTTCTTAGTAAATTATCTACCCTTTGGTAATGATAAGATAAAAAATATGGCAGATTTCCAACAAAATGAAAGATTAATAGAGAAAATAAGAGATGGTGCATAAAAATTCATCATCTATTGACTCCTCCTTTTATGATTCCCTATTGGTACTTACATGTATTCGACCAAGTTAGTTACAGCTTCAATATTATGACGGACATTTGAGAGACGAGTAGTATATTTTGTACCGCGTGTGTAGATGACTTGATATTTTCATATTGAAACGATTTTGAAAAATTCCAATTCCGAAGAAAGAACGTTATAATTAAGTTGCCAGTCGAAGGAAACTTTTGCTCCAAGAAGAATCTATAAGAAAGGTCATAGCTTCAATTCGAAACAATCGGATTTGATTTTTCATCGGTTTGAGATCGAGGAACAAAGCCATGATTCCCCCCGAGTATTCGTTAAATCGGGAGAACAGCGTTTACCAGGTCTCCAAGGAACATCCTCGATTATTTCAGAGAAAAACATAGAGCCAGGCGACTCAAAGACTAAGATTATTGGAGGAATTACAAATTGTTCGCGTAATGAGGAGCAGCATTAGCTTCGAAAGCTCCCCGAAGGACGCAAGGACAATGGAAAACGAGTCGTCCGCTTTTCTCTCGAGAAAAAAATGACCAAGAACAAGCCGGGGATGTAATTCCACGGACCATTAGAATATCGCCGATCTTTCTAAATAAAGGGATTCTAAGAGAATCTCCGGAGAACATCCTTGAGACAAGCAATTAGTTTGGAATATTTTTTAACGACCAAGCTTCTTGTCGTACTTGGTAAGTATTTTCTAGGGATTAAAATATTTTCGAAATATTTTTGATAGCGTTAGTATCAGTATTATCAGTATTAGTATAATTGCCGATAAAATAGGCGAGATTATAAGAATATTTCTCAAAGATAAATTCGGTGTATGATGTTTTGCGGCAAGTCAACGGTCGAACCATTGAAATTAATATTTACGATCGTAACGACGGTATAGTCCGGTAAAGAGGAGCCGGTATGAAAAGCCGGCTAGAAAGATGAATAACGATGAAGCGGAGAAAGTAATTCGATTAGTCGAGATTGGTACTAGTGAATGACAGTGGAACAAGCATCCAATTGCGAGGGGCAGTGCTACAGTGTTCTTGGAACGACCAGAAAATCCGGCGGTTCAATTAACAACTATGCCGAAGAGGGGTCCTCCGATAGAACAAATCACGTCGTCGCATCGATTAAACGACGCTCGTTCGAGAGCTTAATTTCCGTGAGAATAAACAAACCTAATTTCTTCCACCAGATTTAACTTCCTTCGTTTCTTCTAAGAGTGGTATTTCAGTGATGACGTTACTGACTGACATTCTATCTCTTTTTAATAGAGATTAGTAATGGAATTTCTTTTAAATTAACGATCATCGTTCTACATTTAAATTGTCGAAGAAAATTTGTTAAACGGTCAAGTCACTGCTTTGACATATGATTCAAGGAAGTGTTTAAGAAGTTGTCAATTTTTAATGGGCGTTACGCCTCGAAATAGATATTACGTGGCATTGAAACGGCTCGTATATGTATATCTACATCTACTTCGATGAAACAACCAAAAACTGGAGCTTTAAGTCAAAATCTGTCTTAATCCGTAAGTCACTTTCTTAATCTAACGATTAATAAAAATTAAACAAATCCTTTAATTCTAACGCTCGATCATCTTTCATTGTGTCGTATAACCAAAGATTAATATATATAAAAGAAAATAAAAAGATAAGTAACAGAGAAGAAAATAATTAACAGTAAAAATTGCTGGTTTCATGCGTTATTGTTTCCAGAAAGCAAACATAGTTGTATAAAAGATCGATTAACTCACAGATGCAGCACGCTGCCAATATCCTCGTGGCATCGTCCGGCGGTGCACAATCCGGAAACACTGGCTTCAACACGTAAACGCTAAAAGTCAAGGCAACGATGGCCTGGCTGCAAGGTCGGACTATCATGCACTCAACCCAGAGCCTGATGAACGCCAGAAAGGGTCCGAAGGTCTCCATGATATACGCGTAATCGGCACCCGACTTTCTGATCATGCAACCTAGTTCCGCGTAACAGTACGCACCTACCTGTCGTTCAACAAAACCAACAAACCACTTAAAATACAGATCATTAATAATAATATCTTAGATATTTTAGCAGTTGATATATTTCTTGGAGTCTTAGATGGATCTGTCCAAAGAATGTTATCGTTAAAAGCGTGTAAAAACCAATTGCTTTTAGTTGGATCGATTTTAATTTGAATAAATTTAAGTGTAAAATAAAATTAAGTGTAATGTATTGAAGTGTATTCGACGATAGAAAATATTATGATCTTGTTTTTTAGTTAGTAGCAAAAGGATTTAATCAAGTTTTTAACTTTCTCGCGGCTGTAATTAATTTTTTATTCGAGTTCGTTAAACGAATAAAATACATATTCACGTGAGATTGTACGTATAACATCCATGTAATTCAATGTTCGTAATTACGAGCGATCAACTTTCTCCTTTCGCCGTTTTATATATTTCTAATGGCGCTTTGAAAAAATTGTCATGCGTATACTGTACACGCATATTTTATCCACGAGACAGTGATCGAACTCGTTAGCGTACCAGGCTAATTTCTTCGCAAATCACATAGATGAGAGAACGTAGTCAGCGATCGCAAGTGATCGATCGATCACGCGAGACACACTTCGGCATACCGTATAATGTCAGAAACTTGAGCGAATAAGCCGTCTAAATTCTAAATATCAAATTCTACCAATATTCTTCCAATTCTACTTCACATTTCAAAATCTCCAACTTCTCTAATAGATTAAAACTTTCTTATACGTGTATGTTGTTGTTAAGGAAATCTCAATTTTGCGAATACATACTCCGTTTATGGAATGAACGATTTTAAAGAACAGAGCTGCCTCTGGCTCTAAGAAGGAAAAAAAGAAATAATGGCGTACGCACCGTGGAGAAGATACCAGAAGCTGTCCATACCAGAAGACTCGCGTTCACGCTTCCTGTATACTTGAGAACGCCGGTCGGGCTAACGAATATGCCAGAACCAATAATGGAGCCAACGATCACGGTAATTCCATTCAATAGGGACATCTTCGCCTCTAGTTTGATCTCGTCGTTGGCTTTGTCGGCGATTGGAACCGGGTCATACGGCCCCTTCTCGTCATCCTTGATGCTTCCCGACTTCGACATCCTTCCTGTAGCCGAACGAATAAAGGTGAGTTTCTTTTATTTCTATAAGAATTGACGCACTCAGATTTACCACTTTGTTCATAAAATATGCATTCGACCCTTTTTATTCATATTTTTAATATTTGATATATTATTTCTAATATTGCTCTATAATAAGCTGGACGTAAATATCTATTATGGTTACTAGGATACAGATTCTTTGGGATTTAACACATTCGATTTAAATCCTAAATAAGATAAATACGATCGGAATAAAAATTCCTCTCAATTCTTGTGAATACTTTTAAAGAAAAGCGGTAGCTTTTCCATTTTCCATCAAATATCTAGAAAGAAAAATAGAAAACACCACCTGTTGATCGAGCTCGATCAAGAACGGCATGAAATAAGCGTCGTAAGGAACATCGAAACCACCGCGCAATTTTTTATCCTCGTACGTTCGATTCATTAGATAAAAAGCGCCATTCTGAAGAATACAATCAGTAAATCAGCTTATCACACCCAGTCTGCTCCACTTTTACCAATGGAATTTCCATCGTTTCGTTTCTTGTCTCTGAATAATTCATCTCAGTAATAAACAATACGGTGTAACTTTTACTTCGTAGCCAGAATGTGCCAATTCATCTCTCGACTTTTCACCTAAGAAGATACAAACTGGTTAGTGAGAAACGTATAAATGAGCCGAATGTTTTCTTTTTATCTCTGAACAAATGAAATGCAGCTTTGAACCTTTAACCGCTTAAAACACTTTGTTTCATAGAACTATTTTAATCGTTGATCTTTATGAGTCCGAAAACTACGATATCTTATACTATCTAAAATACCTACGTGTTAATGGTTTTTTAATATAACAAAATTTCATCACTTTTATTGCCAAATTGAGAAAGAATTTCTTAAGGAATTAAATAAATATCTTAACCTTAATCGATACATTGAATAAGTCAAGTCCATGAAATTTTAGTAATTTTTACTTTTGTGATTATTTGGAAAATATCCAATGGATCGTGTGTGTGCGTGTGCGTGCGTGCGCAATATGTATATACTATCGTCAAATATTATACCCTGCATGGCGAATTTAAATGATCCGCCTTTGACATTCAGCTGATAATCAAATTAATGTAAAGTCATTCGCGCACGATAAAGTTTTTTCTACGAAAGTGTCGTCGTCTTCTTTGTCTTGTCCCTGAAAATTATCGAGTCGGTAAATAACTTTCCAGATATTATAAATATTGAAATAAGGAATATAATCGCCAAACACGTTTTTACTAAGAAAAAGAAACGATAATCCTTCGATTTGTTATGTCTCCTCTATTGTTACACATACTGGCGATCAATGCAAATTAACGTAAAAAGTGAAAACGTTTAAAAATTTCCATCTCAAAATACTAATAGCAATCTCAAGTAAAATCTACCAAAAAATTTCCAATCCTCTTCGAGTTTCGAAACAAACAGAATTTCCATAAAAAATTGTGCTTTTAGATAGAATCTATTAAAATTGACGTGTAGTTTGCATAGTAAGTCGATTATTATCCGCCAAGCACCGAATGCTGTCAGACGAGATTGTTTTCTGCACGAGCAACATTTGAAACGTAACTTTTGCAAGCTGATCGCGTCATTCTGATTTTTTTCGAGTGGAAATACCCTCCTTCGCAGCCGCGGAATTAGCCAATGGTGTGCACAAACGTCGATACACACCTTTCTACCGCCTGGTCGGCCTTTATAACGTCGTTTATCTACTGGATTCCAGAAATTTTCGAAATACGGTTGTAGAGTTTTATCAATAGGTATTTTAGTGTATTTTGTAGTTTAAAGTTGTTCTACAAGCAAAAGAGAAGAATCTTTCTTCTGGAAAATGAGAGAATTGAAGAGATACTGCGTAAAACAAGATGAAAATAAAGCTAACGATTACTTGATTTTTCGTAAATAATTTTTGTAGCAAATGAACATTTTTTTTAGACATAATTTTTATTGTAAAGTAAAGCTTTTTATCATACTAATTTTTATCACAGATCGTAAGTAATCGAGGATAAGTATTCTAATTAAACTTTTCTAGAATTACAGCGAATATTACGTTTTATGAATTTGTCTGCACATTCTAATGATTCAGTAGCAATGAATCGATGGTAAAGATGTATTTTTCTCCTTGATCTAATACTACTTTATTTACAAACATAATAGAAGGACATACTTTATAATTTAGTTTCACAATTTTAATTATAATCATTAATCGTAGGATTACCGTAGCATGTCTTCATAAAAATTTTCTTACACCCTTTGCTAAGGATATCAATTCCTTCCTCCATTATATTTAAAACCCAAGGCAAACTCAGTCACGTACGTCACTACAATGATTTTCATACCACCGAATCAAATCAAGTGCTACTGTCTGCGAAGCTACGAAATTACAACTTAATCTACCCTAGCTGTAAATAATTTGCACCAGAGTACCATAAATTTATCAAACTATTATATAAACTTATTTCAGAGTCGAACGCACTATATTTGAACATCAATAATTTCCTCGTTTCTCACGGAGAAAACTAAAATCCTCTTACTCAACGAACGCTTAAGATATTTACGTTAAGTTTAACCTTGCACATTTTTTGCCAAACGATAACGAAATGAATTCACTGAAACCGAACATTACCCCTTTAGATAATCGATAAACTACGGAATGAAAATTTCCTGAAACAAAGTCATATCCATATCCAAGATCGTCTTAAGCATCGAGCAAAACACATTTTTCGGTCAACAGTTTCATTCGACCACACGCGTATCCAGACTAATCTGCAAAGACTGTCATCTCTTGTACCGATTTTATTCTCGAATCGGTACCGATCGACCAATCACATCCACGAACGACGATACACGCCTTTCTATCACCTGTACGACGAATACATTCGAAGGTGCAAAACCAGTTCTTAATCCGTTCCGCTATGTTTTTAAAGTGGCAATTTAATCGTACCTCGAATTCCCTATTTGCTTCATAAATTCATAACCAATCGAGACTCAGAGCTACTGTGTCAGATGGAAAGCAAGTGGCCTTTACCTAACCTTTACTTCGCCTTTCCATTCTTCCATTATACCTACATACATACATATGTTTGACATAATGCACTTGACAATCGATTCGGATCGATTTTTCAAAGCGATTCGTGTTAATTTTTCGCTGTAAGTGCATCGAATTGTAAAAAAAAAACTTTAAAAGGACCGTAACAGAACTTTTCTCCGAAAAAATGTTATTCGTTAATGCCTATACACGTCAAACTATGTCGCAGTGCTAACAGATATATCTACTTACGTATGTAGTGACTCATGAAAATATTTATTTATTATATTTGAACGCTTATAGAAACTTCTTTTCAATATATCGTTACACAGGAAGCTTTATACGATATGATATACCATGATGTTCGATAGAAATATTAAATCATATCTGTATAGAAATTACAAGATATTTATTGCAAGCACACACTTCAGAAATAGTGGTATTCGAATAACCTTCCCGCGACCTTCCCTTAGATACTCGAAATTTTGGTATGGTATATGTATGACAAATTAGTGATTCTAAACCGATTTGATATATTTTAAAGCACGATATATTATTTATATATTAAAACGAACACGAACTACTTGTGTACATAACATTAATTTTATATATATATATATATATATATATATATATATATATATACTCTTGTTTATATGAAAATCACTAAAAAAAAAAAAAAGGAATAAGGACGAAGGAGGAAAACCTCGAAAGGCAGTCGTTTTACATAAATAATCGTAATATCTGCACTCTAATGCAGCTTCACCGGCGTATATTTCATGTTAATTCTTTGGTTGACAGCGGCGCAATTCGGTGCGTCGATCACAACAAAGTCATTCATCTTTCCACTATCAACGAGCAGCTATGGAAAATGGCACGCAAACTTTCAACCATTAGCGTAGAAAGTAACAGATGGTAATATATTTTTATTAATTCTCTAGTGTACGTTTAATTCCTTTTCTTTTCTAGTACATATTAGGAAAGCCCAGAAGAATATCATCACTTTGCAATTTCTAATCCTAGATTTATTATAATTATGTATTTTTTTATACATTATAACGTAATTATTTTATCATCATTATCGTTTAATATTTTTACATAACAATGTTTTTAAAGTAACTATTCATAAATTTAAAGAAAAAGAAATCACAACTAATATACAATTTATTTGCATTACATTAAAGACACCGCAAAGTAATCGACAATCTTTATAAAATTAATAAAAATTTATTCCATAAACTAAACACACACACACAGAAATTAGGAAGGTAAACGAAGTTATGATACATAATCTAAAGTTCATTTATATCTCTGTATATATATAAGTTTAAAATTTCGTAAGCTCGACCCACAATATCGTTCTAGGATTATACTAACGACTATTCAAACATAACCTCTGATAGTCCACCAAATATTATTTACCAAGTTTCTATATTACCGATAAGAAACGAAAAGTATCGATAAACTTTATTCTTTCCCTACATACCAAAGGTTCCATACGTGTGTCGCATTTCGTTGAGCCACAAAATCCTTGCTTATTGGATATGTAGATCATCAAGCCGATGGAAGCCGTCCTTTATGCTTAAACGGCGCGATGTGTCGATAAACAAGGGATGTACGAAACGAGTAGGATCAACGTAAATCGTTGTTAGAACGCGAACTAAAGGAAACGAAGAATAAAACGACGACGTCCACGCGAAACCACCATAGGTACTATCGAAAGGGAAACGATAACGATCGATGGTCGATCTTGTCGTGCATTTGCACAGTTGATTGAAGAATAAGGTGTAATTGCATCCAACCGCAAGACGTAATTCGCTACCTGGCACAAAGTGTGAGTTTCCGTCGAATTTTCTTATATCGATTCGTCGTAATATATTTATTAATCTTTTAGAAGAATCAAAATTCGCTAACTCGTCGCACGCTTCTGTCACTTAATTTTTTCATTGTCATTTTTTCAACCCAAGCCTGTCACATCGATATCGTTCATATCTGCTTGCGTAACTGCTTGTTGCGTAATCGATAAGTTTGAGGCGCCGTTTTGGAAATAATCAGGCTAATCGTCGATATTAAAGCGCGTACAAATTCCGTGTCAGAGATGAAAGCAGTATATATTCAGTGTAATCACCGCCATTTTGTCCAGTTTTAAGAAGAAACGATGTGTGAAGAAATAATGTGTCAGTAAAAAGATGAAAAGTATGAAAATTTGTTTGGATACTGTGATCAGTGAACGTGTGTTCATCCGTATACACCGATATATTTGTATAGTTAAGAATGGCTACAATACAGAGAGTGCTGGTAAATCTATGCTTTTTACATTTTTCCTAAATCCAAAGGAACTATCGAAGAAGAAAGACAGAAAGGACATAGTTTAAGCAAGTATGTGAGTACATATATCGTATTTACTACATTCATCGATTTTATTCTTTGTCCTGACATGTTCATTTCGTCTATAATGTGTTTAAACCGACTAAAGACTCTTACTACGACGATATTGCATTAGTAACAACTTGAACCAAATATTCAGTTACATACCATTAAACAAGTAAGCGAACGTGGCTTGTAAATTACACGTAACTTGTATCCTGTACGATTAAATTTCGATTAGTAGCGATCTGAAACGTAATAATGGAGAACAATAACCTTGTTTATGTAGGCAATGTTGTCAAATAGTCAACTGTAATATGGTATACATAGGTATAAAACCCTGTTTTTATGATCGAGTCTACCGCTTTAAAAATATAGCATACAATTTCATTTTAATGATTAATGTCACTTAGAGCGTTACACAAAATTTAGAAAAAACTCGAGAATACCATCAAACTCTGAACTTTCTCCCCGTATTTACTCCTCTCCTCCCTATTTTTACTGGTTTATCTGTCAACCTGTATACCGTAAATACTGACAGACAGTTTATGCGGATAACTACTTGTTAAATTGCAAAGTTATAAAATCTACACACAGTTAGAATTTACACTCGAGAAACAAGTCGCTTTAACAAACAACGCCACATGAAGCTTACAACTGGTGTTGATAATCGCACGGTGCCATATTTCATCTCGCGCGTCCTATAGTCGTGCATTATCGAATATCTTCGCATCTTGCGTTCAGAGATAGCATATTGTTTCAATCATCTGGTGATTGCTTTCACAATTGTAAATTTCCTCCGCGTATAGCGATAAGAAGTAAAACAAGGAAGGATGCTTATAAAATTGGGATTGAGAAAGAGAGAGCATTATCGCACGATGTTTCGAAAATCTCGAAATAATTATGTAATTGTATGTTACCTCGATCTTATCCTTTAAAGTGGAAAGTGATGATAATCAATCTAATTAAATATGAAAACGAAGAATCTTTTTCTTTTTCTTTTTGTCAGAAAACGTAATCCATCGTTTCTGCGTGCAATAAAGTAACAAGTAACCCCCTTTAATGCGATCTGCTAATACGTCAAGTCTGGCAGTCGTACTGCTTCAAGCCTGTTCCTCGAACTACACGTACAGTATGCACACGTATCGAAAAACATATACAAATGAGCTATTGTACTATTCCTTCCATCTAGTCATTTGTACGAGCTTTGTGAAAAACTTTGTTCTGAACTTGTATATAGTCGATCTAAGAATTCTAGTCTATGGGTTTCATCTCTGCGGACACTTTCATCTTGGATGACACAACACAACAATGTATTTTCTATTTCGAATCATATTGAGAGTAACAATTTCTGAAAGGTTGCCATTGTGTAATATGCATCTTATCGTTACTTCCGTGTTTACCTTAAGATTGAATTTAAATATTGGTAAAAAATATCGTATCTCTTCTATCCATGTAATTATTTGTGGATCAACATATATGTATATACCTAGAACTGCGAAAGTGGTTTTTAAACTAAGGAATTAAAAATATGATAGTTAAATCTGGTTTTATACATATGCACTGAAAACTAAACAGGAATTCCGATGGGTATGGAGGATCCCGAAATTTTCGTGGAATATTACGTCAGTTTTCATTGATCTTACGCCGCCAACGTCGGTTTGTTCGCCGTATAACGGGAACGTAACCTGTACTTAAGACACCCGTAAAAGATAACCACGCGACATCGGTCCCTTCATGCGACACGGATTAACGGAAATTATTATTTTAAAAAATCTTGTCCCCTTCGTGTCGCTCGATGATCATGACCAACGTCAACTTGGAACTTCTAAACGTTATAAAAAGTTCACGAAATGTCAAACTTCAAACGCTGGTACGAATTACAAATTTCGCTAATTCATCAACTTTACAATTTATTATTTCTTTCAATAATTACACCAATTTCATATTTGTTTTCTTTTCTTAGATAATTTTAATATCGATCAATTTATCGAATAATTCGACATATTTAGAAAATTTCTTCTTTCCTTTAATAACTAAATAACCTAAATTTTAGTATTGTTATTAAAAATGTTCAATGATTTATAATATTCCAAATTTTTTTAGACGATATTTCTAAATGCTTAAGAGATACTTGTCTGTAGGTATCACACGGTATGTTTACCAGAGATGCGCTAGCGACCCTAAATACCTGTCAGAAATGGTAACTAAACGTGTTCAAATCATGCTGGGGATATGTTATCGATCCGTTTGCAGTCGATTGTTGTGATAAGGGACGAAGTGTATTTTGTAATGCAGCACCACCGCACGATCGCACGATAACAAATCCAATTGGAACATCTAATTTTCTATAATTCGTTAACAATATTAACAAGCGTTTATCGCAATCACGTGTGCTATATCGTTATTTAAGATTGTGAACAGAAAGCTCCGAATAAAAGGCCAATATATTTGGAACGATACTATTACGAAAATAAAATAGAGCGTACACATCCCAATAAGTTGTACTACTGACAGAGTGTAGTGACCAGTTATCACAATAATTACATATAATATCAATTACTATATTGCTATATACTATGTTAATATATTTTTGTATGGCTACCTGCTATGTCGTTCTACATATTATATATATATATATATATATATATATATATATATATATATATATATATATATATATATATATATATATATATATATATATATATATATATATATATATATATATATATATATATATATATATATATATATATATATATATATATATATATATATATATATATATATATATATATATATATATATATATATATATATATATATATATATATATATATATATATATATATATATATATATATATATATATATATATATATATATATATATATATATATATATATATATATATATATATATATATATATATATATATATATATATATATATATATATATATATATATATATATATATATATATATATATATATATATATATATATATTATATATTATATATCATGAATAATGTATTAGTACATTATGCGTACTACTACGTTTTACGTGTATTATTAGGTTACTATTAAAATGAAACGAAAACTATGTGTATTCAGAATAGTAGGTACTACTTTTAGTACAGAACTAGAATGATTTAGAAATTTGTACTATAGATTTAAAACGTTCTTTGAAACAGGACAGCTGAATTGAGGTAGAAATTTGTATTTCTGTCATTATTGATTTTTTTTCTGATCTTTTTTCCATTCTGAGGAGGGTCGAAATGAGGGTCGAAACGAGAGTCGAAACGAGGGTCGAAAAGGGGGTCGAAACGGAGATCAATGACTTCCGTGTACCCTTGGTTTACGGTTAGGTAGAAGGTAGGTTTGAATACAAAATCGGAAGTACATGGCTAATATTGGAAGCCGAAGGATGGCTAAATGTAAAGGAGTTGAAGTCACATCATTATTAAGTTACTTTGGTAAAGGGTCAATTTTACAGGTATATCAAGAAGCAGAAGGATAGTTTCATAATTAAATAGAGTGTCTAGTCGACACTCGTGTACGTGGTGTGTGTACTTGTAGACAGAATATCGGATAGTACGAAAAGAAACTCTCATCGAGTGTCAGAATTTCGTTACAAATTCGACCGAATCACGACTGAAGCACGGCTGAATCTCAACAGAGTTACAACTTTAACATCTAGCTGCTTTTACTAAGATCAATTCACGACTTGGCATATCGAACGTTCCGTGTTCATAAAAGATTCGCATGTAATATTTCGGAGTGGAAAGGCAAACGTGCTTAACGCGATATTCACAGGGTGTGCTAACCCGCTTCGCTAACCGATGAAAGAAAAGGCTAGTTTCCACCAGCGTGAACGTAGCGGCATGGCGGGCGAAAAAATCAATAGACCACGTGGGTCGCCGACCGGGTTTTCCGAACCTAGTTTTCGTCCTACATTATCATGTCGGATAATCTGACGTCAGACAAAGAATTTCGCAATTCGGCGGAAAAAAGTAAAGATGATTGCCAAAAGGAGCTGGCGACATCTCTATGAAAAGGGTTGATTTCATCAACCACCGTATCCAAATGTGCATCGCGGTTCTCGTATCTCAATCATAGGTGTCACAATAATATTCAGTCGAAGAAATATCAATAGATATGATTCTTCGAATATTCGCTAATAATGTTTAAAGTCGATCAATTTCTCGTTTCTAATTTCTTTAGTTCTCTTAAGAGAGTGATAATTTACTTAGCCCTCTCATACGACTGGCGTCGTTATTCATAACGTAACTTGCATAATAACATTACCGACACGATCTTACGAGATTACTCAATGTCTCATCCTTTAGCTATTTACAGTAATTCGCACGAATATCCACCAAACTTTCATTCAATGTTTCCCTCGCTTATACAACCCTCCACGTTCATCAAACACCAAACAAACACCAAAATGACAGGTCCATTAAAAATTACTCACCGAATAATCAATATTCGGAGGAAACGCGATGCTCAACCTTTAGAGATTCTGTGTAGTTCTCTTGTCGAATATCACTGGTCACTGTTGCATATAGACAAAGGATAGCCTCTATCGACGATCGACGCGTCACAGAGAAAATTCACCGGGATATGATGTCCGGTATACACGCGACGTACTCAAAGCATCGTTCTTCCTCTCCGTATCCTTAGTTCCTGTTCCGGTTGGTTCGGGTGGTCCGATCGTCGACGCCGGCAACTGCTGAGGGCGGATGTGATCCAGCACGACGTAGCACGAGGATTAGAGAAGCCACGAAACGTGTGGCACACTGGTCGAGCTCTGAATGACTGTCGTCGAACGTTCGTTCCGTTCGTGGGCTTCGAGCATTATAACGTGCGGCAACGAGTGCCGGCGCATGTCGTCCCTCTCCTCGCCCTTTCTCTCCCCACATTTTCTGTCTCTTTCTCTCTGTCTTTTCACTGGCGGGCCTATGAAGCCTTTGTGCGCGCGTGCATCACGGTGCGTGTATATGGCCGCGGAGTACGAACCACGTTATGCTACCCTAGAGCTTTATCGACCAGTCTATCGGTCGTTCCTTTCTACCAATTATTATTATCTCGACCGTTCTCAGTAGCGATTTTGCATTAGTTGTCTTCTTTTATGTTTTAGATGCACGATGTATGGACATTGAAGTGTGATTGAACGGTACCTCAGGCTGGAATTTAGGGGATCCTATGATCGCCGGCTGTACGTTTGCAAATGAGATACTGCTTTCGCTGGATCCTTCGCTGGAGGTGTAGAGCAAACGTTATATAACTATGTAAAATTCAGTTAGTTGAGTTAGTATTTTCGAGTTAGTACGATTAAAGTTCCAGAAAAGGAAAATTGTGTAAGTTTCTTGGATTGAGAGGTGCGTAGAAATAATTGTTGATTTCGTGAGAAACTTATTGAAAATTATTGAAATGTATTCTTGGCTCCAATCTTAAAATATGGCTTATATCGAAAACTTCATGAGCATCGAAGAAGCGAAGCAGAGAAAAGATAAAATAACTTGTTGGCAACCATAGGTAAATAAATTAAAATAACAAGAAACAAAATTGTACGAGTCATCGAGTTAAAAATGTGTAGAGATGCATATTATGTATGTTCTTCGTTTATTGGAAAACTATGAAGAACACCGAAATATACCTAAATCTTGATGCCAGTCTTGAGATTTATGGAGACTTATATTAAGACAACACTTAAGTACTTACAGCACACTCGAATAAAAGAATCGAGCGTCTACATGCTCGACTGCGCTGGTATCAAACAGTTCATAAGTCATTTACTTTCAGTAAACTTCAATGTTAACAAATTAACATAACTTCTTTCCTGATAAGGATAATGATAAGAGTTTATAGCAATTACGATTACGAGTTCAAGGTCCACTGCAATATGTATGCAGCAAATTTCGTTTACATATGTAAACTAACATCCAAACGATATTGGTTATCATAATATGCTAAAAGTCATTTTTAAATATTACTCATTTAAATTTCATTTACACAAGGACAATCTTTTGACACGAACTTTTTTAAATTCTTGAATCTTATGGAATACTAGTAATTGTAAATTTCCTATGAAACAACGATGGTTCCAAATTAAGGATTGACACTACGGAAGAATTTAACAATTCGATTTCGAGTTTTTCGCCGATAATATACTTGGCTACTACCTGCATAAGAAAACGACTGATAAAAAAGATCTATCTTCACGGAACAATTATAATAACATCGCGTGCCGTCGATACGTACGTCCGTACATTGGTAAAATAAAAAAGACACTTAGAACACAGAATTACGAGCTACGCGAGTCTACCAGACGAAATTTAATGCTTCGCACGTCAATCGCGCGATATCCTATATAGAGTGGTGCACCTGCACGATCCATGTCAGTCAATCCATATCGACCGCTTTATCGACTATCAGCCGCGGTGCACGCTCGCATACTAACAGGTAGCAAATTTACATTCTCAACCGCTCGTAAAGTATGTTTACATCATGATACGTCGAGTATATGCAATAACTTAGAAGTAATAACCCAGCCTATTAATGCGCCTATTGTAATTAATTACCATTTTCATACGATATTTCCTTTGATCCGACAACAATATCGCAAACTTCATTTCCGTTATATTAAATTCTGAATAGTAAATGCTCTTGAAACTTTTCAATTCTTGGTTAACGCTGTTTGTCTTTTATTCTCGATTCCTTAGATTGATACTGAATATATTGATAGCGAATAAATGATCGTTCTGATAATGTTTGAATTCTTATTTAATTCTTTCGTGTATGATCTTCTCGGTTCTTTAGATTTTATAAGTAATGGCGGATTAATTTGATAAATTATTGTAAATTGAGCCTATTTCCGGTATAGTGGATTTTGATATAAAGACTAACAATGTCCCATTTTATTCTCTTCGATGTGTCAAATCTTATAAACAGTAATTGATTGATAACAGATTTTGAAAAATTGTATTGTTTTTGGGATGAAAAATCGAAGCTGAATCGCTTCGCTGCAAATTGCATCGACCAACGCCAGCAACGGAGTAATCGTATTACGCTTTGTCGTGGCCGAGCAATCCTGTTTTCGCTTGTCCTATAATTAAACTGCGTCGCTGGACGCGTCACGTCGGTTTGATAAAATTTCGGTAATCAACTTCCAACGTCCCTCATTAAGAACCGCGTCTATGATCAGGATTTCATCGTGTTTTCATCATGATCTGTAGTTTCTTGATCAAGATCCTGACCGAGCTATTCCTTGCACGCGTGGCATGAAATAATGAAAATGACGAAACAAGATCGTGCCACGACTTTTATGAATGGCTTTACGAGCACGCGATATTTTCAGAATCATGACGATTCATGACGTCGACTTCGTTTACCTAGAACGTAAGATGGAGAGAGGAGGCAATTACCGAAGCGATATTAACGCAATGGAAATATCTTGTTTGATCAAAATTTTCAAATTTGAGGATGTATAAAATTGAGAATTTGAAAACTCAAATGTCTGACAAAATTTCAAACTTTGATAATTTAGATGTTTGAAAATTTCGAATATTTCGAATATTTCGATATTTAAAGATTCGAAAATTCGAAAAAATAAAAATTCATTACTCGGTATTCAGGTAGCGAGACACAGAGCTTACAGCTACGAGAAATAGTAGTAGTAGTAGAAACGAAATGAACGCAATCTAGGATAACGATAGCATGTAGTTTCTTGATAAAGAGAGGGGAATACCCGATGCGACGTCATTATGGAACGGTACGTGCTTTCCCAAGACTTTTCTTACGAACTCGGATTCCTTCTATTCCTGAATTTTCCTCCATTATTCCTGGGAATGTCGCTCGATTAACGTTAATCGCAGAAATTTCAGTATCATTAATTGCTAATTTTGAATTGAATCCTCCGTGCAAATAAAATTATACAAAATGACTTAGATATGAAAGAAATATCAAGATAGCTTATATCAAAATAGTTTTCCACGTTATATAATTTGAAGCATGATATTATATGTATAACCCATTATCGTGCAAATGATGTTTAATATACAAATTACTAACAATGGGATAACTACAATTTTTATCGATGTATATAATAACCCTTAACTATCTGTACATCTTATCGCGTAAAACATAGGATACATGTTAAAATGAAATCGACGAAACTGTAGAAACGCTGCGTGCTCTCCGATTTCGCTGATCGTTGTATATATTATAGAAATCGATATTTTAAACAACTTTTTCCTATGCACGTAAGAAACGCGCTCGCTTAGTTTACGAGATATTCGCGAAAAATTGCTGGTACGACACGGCGTATTTCACGGAGTATGCGTCACTATTGGTTGCCCTCCACCGGCCGCTTATCTTCTGTTTATAAACGGTAGTTTATAACTTTGGGAAATGGAAAGGAATAAACTTTGGGTTTATAACTTTATAACTATGAGAAAACTCGAAGCAGCCCGAGCGCAACTGCATATACGAGGCTGCGAAAAGTATCTGTTATAACTCGATTAAGAGCGAGTATCATCAATGTATTGGGTTTAGGTTTGGCTCAGACTTTTCAATGCAACCGTAGCAAGGTGACACCCTGGCAACGCTTGCACGAAATAACAACTATAATTTTATTTCATAAAATAACATTACTTATTCGTTCGTCCGTAATTTTTATAATTAATTTGTTGTTATTTCACGCGGACGTTGTCGACCGCCTCGTGGCGGCAGAATTGAAAAATCTGACCCAAAGCTGAACAAAGCAATAGTGATATAAGTTGTAAAGTTACAACAAATTGCATTCTCGCAGCTCAGACGCAGCCTCGCACATGCGTATGCACGTTGTGCACGGGGCGTTTAAGCTCGCCCAATCCTCGTTTATAAACGGGAGATAAGCGGCCGGCAACCAATACTGACGCATACGCTGCCACGGACGCGCAACTATGGGCAAAAATACACTGTAGCGGTACCGGCCGTTTTTCGCGAAAATCTCGCCAGCTAAGCGAGTCCACCCATTACGGTACAGGAGAAGGAGAAGAAAGTTGTAGAAAATACCCATACATTTCTACAACTTATGCAAAAAATCATAGAAATCGGAGGATAGGCGACGTTCCTACAGTCCCATCATTAAATGTCCTAAAATTACACATTTATATAATTCATTTAATATATATAAGATATTTTATAACGAGATATACAAAAATTAGGAAGTGATAGCGACGAAACCAGTATTCATTTAAAGGATGTCTGTCGATACATTCTCAAAACAGCTAGATAATAATTAAGACTGCGCAAATAAATAACGATCTTCTGGTGCAATGAGGGAAATACGATCGATGATCGTCCAGTCCTTATACGATGCAAAGGCACGATAAACTATTTGCAAGTTGCATAATCTTATTTCTTCAATTACTCTTGCTAACCCTCTCATGCTTACCGTTAATGAAATCGCGTGTTTACCAAAGCAGCGGTAATTGAGAACAGTGTCCAAAGCTTTCGTAGTAATTAATTATAATACATTATACCGCCATATAGTTCGAGTCTTGCGTAACTATAGTTTCATAATATTTCAAGTATTCTTTTTCCAACAAACATAGATAACGTAGTTGACACAACAAATTGTTGAACTTAGATTGGGAGATAAACAGACCGAAAATTTCTGTAATTATGAGAAAAATATGACTTGAATTTTTCAGGAATGATATATAGCGAAATATAGTTAACTTTGAACATACTATATACTTATTTATTTATTTAAGATGATTTCACTGTATTTTGTTATATTCGATTGAGTATTGTGTGTGATATGCGTGTGTGGAATCGGAGTATCGTAATTTCGTAAGGAAAGCGATAAAAATATATAGTTAACCAATTTTTTCTAAATTTTTATAAATTTGAGATTTTTTTTCGGAAGAGATAATTCAATCCTAAATAAAAATATAAAGCTCCTAAGATTTATTAACACAAACGTTAAACACAGATTTCATGATATTTATGTACAATAATTACTTATTTATGCGTGCTAGTATATGAAATTTTCAATTTACGTTATGTTTCCTCCATAAAATCATAAACGCCCGTAAAAATGTTCACTAGCGTATCTCTGTGCCTCTGTGCGGCAACGACGAACACTGTTTGTTTATAACTAAACACAAATTAGTAGGTATTAATTCTTGAAAAAAGAATAAAAGATAAAAATTATTATTTCTGACAAGCGCAAATCAATAGAATAATAATGGCGCTGCAATCATGATAATAGAATGTACCAATTATATAATAGCACACTTGAGAATCTAAATACTTCCATATAAAACTTTCAACTTCAATTCTTATAAAATTCCTATAAAAAGATTCGGCAATTTAAAAAAAATTAAATCTATGTCTAAAAAAATTAATCCTCAAAGAAGTCTTCAAAGAAGCCCAGTACTATAGACGACGCCTCAAAACGCGCAAGTTCGGACGAAGCAATGAAAAAAACAAAAAAGGAAACGAAACACGAGGTTGCACGTGTCCAGTTAGAACGTGAAAACTCGTCGAGGCATAAAAGATCTAGCAGCTGGATCTGTTCTAAAGACTTCAGAGACTAGACAAAGGGGTAGAACCTCGCTTAAAGGGGTGCAAGATCGTCTGGAATAGAAACTCCGTTCCAGGTCAGGCCAGGTGCATTTTTTGTAGTCCTGTCACCGTGTCCCCTTGGTAAAACCGTGAATTAACTATACCGCGTGACGCAACTTTCACCCTAAAATATCGATCGATTAATTTTTCAAGTTTACTTCCGAATTTGGAAATTCCGCACCGCAGACGTGGACTTAACGATGCAAAAATGTAATTGGCATTTATGGTATGTTAATTGTACGAATTGGTAGCAACATAAGGAAGGGGCCTCGTTCAACAGAATCCTCTGGCATTAAGAAGGATTTGCATCTCAAGGTGTAATAAACGATAACGCAATACTTCTACGATAGCCGCTCGGATCATTACAGCACATGATTGAAAGATCGACGCAACATGCATTTTATCACTGTCCTCGATGTGATTATGTGAAACTTGTTTTTAGCTTGTTCGTTTGCGTTGCTAAGTAAAAATATTGCCCGCTTGCTTAGAAAAAGAAAGATTCTTTTATTTATTATTAATTTATTATTATTTATGTATTATTAAACAGTCAGCACTAGTATCAGTTCTAATTTGAAACTCGTGACCTACGAAATATTTTAAGATCACAGATCCAAATTAAAAGTTATTTAAAAAATTTCATGTTCTTCGCTAAGGGGAATTTTTGTAACACTATAAATTTTTTAATTATTCTGTCAACTTGTATCGTTGTATTTTTATCACAACGATCTTCAAAGTATTCTGAATATTAGCATAGCCATCTTGGTATCTTAACTCTAGGAGATGATATACACTTTCGAAAATCCACATCTCAAAAACAAGAGACACGAAAAAATAACTGACCCGTCCACCAAATATTGATCGAAAATGTTCGAAAAAGCCATTCCTTAATTACGAGTAACATAAATTCCTGGATAAGGTTGGATAACCGGAAGCTAGCTAGGAACGAGGAGGAATCTCATGAATTCGGCGTGGGACGTGTTTTCGTGACGTCACGGAATCAATACGCCATCCAGTCTCAGCCCACCACCTACGTCACCAATGACACCATCGCTTCTTGTCCGTGTTCAATTACTGGAAACGAGGTTACCATGTCGTCGTGGGTCGAACTTGTTCTTCTAATGCAATTTGCCAAGTGCACGGCGTCGTTTGCAACTGGCAAAATGCGTTCAATTACCACGGCAAGCAAGATCGTACCCTTCTTCCTTAATTTCACTCTATTCATTCGTGGATATCTGGTGAGAAAGGTTTCTTAAATCGCAAACGTAGTTTTCGGATCGTAGTTGAAAAGGAAATGTGATTCTTTCAGGAAATTCTTCTTTGGAAAAATTTCCCAGTTTGGAGCATTTGTCACTAGTAGATCGTTTGATCGATCGGACTGTTTGGAAGATCGATGGTCTGGATGTTGGAAAAGAGATCGAGAGGATTTTTGATCACTCGACACGTGAAACCGAGATATAGCATAACGAGCAACAGGTCTACGTTATTTTTACGCTCTTTAAGAAAGTAGAGTTTTTTTTTTGTATTTTACGCTGTGTATCTTTCGCCTGTATTCCTCGTATCTCTGCTTTGTTTTAATAATGCCACAATTCAAGAAATATAAACTTTAAAGAAGAAGTGTTTTGAAATTTATAAAGACATTTTCCTGAGCCATAGCCATACTATCGTATGTTATCGTATAGTTGTAAGGCCAAATTGATAACGATATATGAAATAATTTTGCCCTCTGACGTAAAGCATTATAAATATGCTGCTTTACATGATAGAACATGCTGGTAAAAAAATTCTGTAAACTTTGTATGCAATAAAAGCAAATGCGAAAGTTTTTGAGTTGCCCCGCCATAAAAGCAAAGCAACTATACGAAATCCAAAATATGGTAGACGAAGTCAAGAATATGAATTTGCATAAAAATCAGCGGTCTAATCGATCTAACACGTTCCAGGACATAAATCGGTACATAGCATTATTCACATTCTGTTCTTCCATCACGCATAATATACTATATACAATATACAATAATTGCAATATATTTAATATAATTAATGATAATACAATAATACATATTATACCAAACGCTTCTTGAAACGGACAATTCATCCACGATGGTCATGGCCTCGTGCAAGGAGGATCTATTCTTTACTACCTGTTAATGATTCCATCTGGCAAACGTTTCCTTCACGATCGAATAACACATGTATCTCCATCAAACGAGAACGTGACTGTTGATTCGTCTGGACTCATAAGTCATATACGGTTTACAATAAATTTGAAAATTTTCGCGTCGCCTCGAGGAAGAACAGTATTCGATTGGCTACTTTGCAAATCGCCTAAACTATGACCATCTGCCGTCCTAATTACACTTACGCTTAATCATCGATAGTTACAATAAAGATCATAACGTGAATAATCATTCCGGGCAACGGACGTTTAGATTCCTGATTCTCGATTTGCTTTCCAAGATCGAGTCTCCTTTAATTTATGGATAAAGTTATTTTTATTATTGATAGATCTACAAACTTAACTAACTTAGATAGATAGATTTGAAACTTAACAAATTCCGGAACTTGAGAATTTGAAAATTTTCAGTTATGAGAAAATAAAACTTAAAAGCTTACGGTCTTGGAAATTTGAAACTTGGATGTCTTTTATTTGGAATATGATGGCTCCCACTTATATTTAAGCTACACAATGGTGGATACATGCTGCCATCTTTCGACAGTCATTAGAATATCGTAGCATTTTCCCATACGACGTCATCAATAACGTCGTAACAATACTTGCAGCACGTGCGGATAGATTTAACCTCTCTCTATCGTTGTGGATAAAAGAAAGAAATATCTGTCTTGATAAATTTCGTACCTTTCAAGTATATATTATTCAAAAATTAGGTAGGAGAAGATGGGTAAATTGGGATTGCGGTTAAATAGCCGGAAAAAGGCGAAACGTTGGCCGAAGGGTCAGAGCTCCAGCTCTAATCCACAAACTAAAAAGCATCGGGAACAGGCATCCTGGATGTTCTTCAAAGATTCAACAGGTATAAACTTACAAATATCTATGATTAGAATTTTTTATGAACTTTCTTTTGTCTTTGATATTATATTAAATTTTGTAATTCCCTTAGCCTCTGCGAAGCCTGGTATAACAGAGGAAAGTTTAAAAAAACACAATGCTATTCAAGGGATTGAATCACAGGTAGAAACACCTAATAGCAAAGATAACTCTTGGGAAACATGTACAGAAAACACTGCTGATACTTTTGCTACCAATTGTTCAAATATATCATTTAGTAGGTTAGTGCATAATCGTACTTAAATCAAACTTAGTTTTAAATATCAGCGATATGTATTCGAAGATATTATTAAATGATTATTATTGAGCGATTAATTGAATATTATTGTATAATGATTTTACAGGTTC